CCCGAATCCCCGAATCACACTCGTCGTCGTCCGTCGTCCGAGCAAGCGGATAATAAAAATCGACAAGTTCAAAAATTCTCCTGCCCTGCCCTGTCCTCCCTCCCGGTGCCAGGTTCCTCTTTCGGGCTGCCTGCTGCTGCTGCGCCGTCGTCGCTCGGAAACCCCATGCGCCAGGACCCAGGACCCAGGCTCAGGACATCATCTCCTTTTTTTGCCTCAACTCTTTGAGAGGAGCGCAGTCCACAGACCAAGCCCACTCAGGGAAGGGCTTGGCTGGTGCCGCCCTCCGGCCACGATGTCTACGGATACCTAGCCCAGCCCTTCCCCCATCATGTACGTAAGTCTCAACGCTCGCCAGGACCCGTCATGCGGTGAAAGGAAACGGCGGGGACTGGAACAACTGGGGACGACTCGGTCCTGTCGGCAACCATCACACGTGAGCTTGTCTCCAACGAGGCGAGCCTATCCCCGACGGTCGTGGCCCCCATCGCAAACCGTCCCATCTCCCACGTCGTCAAGGTTGGACTGGTCTGCCCGGTCCGACACAAGACGTACGGCATACGTGTTTGTCGCGACATCCAGACCGTCGCTTTCGTCTCCCATCTCCTCTTGAAGGCGTAGATGGATGGCACTTGTTGGCTGCCGGCGCCAGCGAGCGGACAGAAAAAGGAACTCCCGCATGGATACTTGCAGATCGAATCGCTGGGCTGGGCGCAAAGCGCGGGCATCTCAAACACCCGCATCCCGCCGCCGCATCAAGCCATCGCACGACACCGCTGCCACGATGTCCATGTCTTGGCGTTGGGTATGCTTCTTCTTCTTCGTCTCCTTGTCCGGTTTGCAGCACGTACGGAGATGCTATTTAAACTTGGGTTCTGGCCAAGACGGACTGGTTCCCAAGCAATGCTGCCGCAGCGGTTTCTTTTTCCTGGGCCACCCTCAACTAAGCCAGACATGCCGATGCCTTCGCCTGCAAATGAACCATTCTTGGCTGCGCGGGCGCACATTCCACATTCCTGCGAGGGCTGTGGAACATGGGAGCGAATTGCAAGGTGAGACAAATGATGCAGCCCAGCCCAAGCCTGGCAGCGGCCCATCCACACCTCAACGCAGCTCACGAGCCACAGGCGCCAGGGGCTGCACGCGCCACGGGGAAGCCGACTCAGCCAAAGCCAAGTCATCATCATCAACACGGGCGGCGGGCCCCAAAAGCCAAGCCAAGCCAAGCCTACCCGACGGTGCCTTTCTTTTCTTCTTGTCGTGTTCTTTTTTTTTTTTTTTTTTTTTTTTCATCTCGTCGGAGATGTTCAGTGGCTCCCCCGTCGTTCCCTCCGCATCAAGTAGGGGCCACCTATCAGAGCCGTGATGATCCCTATCATTAACCGGCAATGGGAACATCGCCAGATACCACGCCGCACCGACCGCACCGCTGGCGACCCTGAATCTCAAGGCAACCAACACAACACACACGCGCAAACAGGGTCACCTCCCAGATGTCTAGTGCCCCGTCGGTTCTGAGGAACGTTAAGCACCTGCTGAATAAGGCGTGCTGATTGTGGGGCTTCCCATCCGCCCATCCATTCCCTCGTCATCCCCTCCCGCGCCCATGTCCACACGCCAAAACCTGTGTGAACCCGGCAATATCACGTCCCAGCTGTGATTGGCTCGGCCGGCTACCGCTACATCGGCAGAAACCTTTTTTTCCCTAAATTTTTCCTTCTTTTCCTGCCCGGCCCTTTCCCTTTTCCCTCACCCAAGCCACAAGCCGCCTCTCCAGTGCTCCACTCTCGCCTAAGGCAACGCTACGCCATGCCGCCGCTACGGTGTACGTACCCAGAGATCGGCGCATGCCGTCGACGTGATTGAGATGTTCCAGACTATTGGCCCGAGATTCCAGGTGCCCAAATTCTGGGCATTTTGACGCGTCCGGTTGCTTCTCCCCAACCACGGCCCCATTCGATGGCGTAGCGTCCAATCAGGCTGCTGTCATCTCCGGCTTCCATGGTTTTTCCGGAATACACCACACGACTAGAGATATGACCTGTGCAGTGATCGTTCAAGCCAATCAACGTTGGAAGAGCGGCAAGTGAGCGACTCGTGAGAACCGCCTTTCCCGTTCGCTCCGTTCCCCCAAAGCATACGTAATTGCCTGTATCGAGACTCAGAGAGAGAGAGAGTGTGTGTGTGTGAGCGTGCGTTGGTGCGTGTACATTACATGCATGCATTGACCAGAGACACCACACACACGCATCATACAACACCCACCACACAGGCACAATCGGCTCGCTTGCTCTGACAGCCAGCCAAAAGAAGGGACGCAAGAAGACGTTGGGTTGATTTGAGCAAGAACGCAATACACTTTTGGAGAAGCAGACGGAGACGGGACGATCAAGGGTTCCTTGACCTATTTACCCTTTTCCACGGCCGTGTCATGCAGAGGGGAGGGCCCCCGAGGTTCATGTGTCATGTTCAGAGTTTCCCGCCGTCGCGCCCGTCATCCGGGGGTTTGAAAGGTGGGAGGAGGGGGGCCTGGATGAACAAGACTGATGAAATCCATGTCGCCATCCATCATCCAGCACCACACGCACGCATCCCAAGATCCCGTGGGAAGCATCCTCCCGCACCCTTTTCCCATCCATGGAAGGGAGGGAAGTAAAGCATTAATCGTCCAGTGACCGCATAACATTGTCTGGGCAGACTTTGGTCCATTCGCCTTGCGCGCCATCTTCTAGGTAAGGCGGCGCCCATCATGGCAGAGCTTAAAATGGTGAGACGAGATGTGTAGTGGGATACAGGTAAACCCGCAGGAGGGGGAAAGATGGTTAATGAAGAGGCCGATTAGGCTTCAAGGAATGCCATACGAGTGATATCGATGATGGTCTCTTTTTTGGGTTCTTGTTCTTGCTTTCTCATTTTCGGTTCACGTTCTCCGTGGCCCCCTTTCGTCTCGTTTGATCTGACCAGAATTTGACCGCCATGCATTCTCCGGATTACCGTGCGCCCCTTCAAACACTCTTACCTCATGTTGCTTGACACCCTCCTTCGCCCTCAGAGTCGAGGGAAGGGTAGGATTAGGAGAGGGAAACGGCAAGTCCCCGTAACTCACCCACGCACGTTGGCCTCTATCATTTTACCCGTACCTTTTCTAAAATTCACTTTCTTTTGACACACGCATGGGTCCCGAAGATCGACGGTTCGACGTTCCTCGGTTTTCGAGTCCCGCAACTCTAAATCGCTGGCACAGAGGTGGAGGATGTGGTCCCATTAGATCTATCTCATCGACGGGTGAGAGGCACGCAGTCTATGGCAAGGAATGGGAAATGCAGTCTCATGACAACATTCCAGTGCATCCCAGCGCTGAGTTTCGATATCCCGCTGAAAATTGGAATTGCGCATTCCCGATCGAAGACGTGGAATTTAGATACGGCATTTGGCGACCTGCCGTGTAAGCCTCAAATCTCAGCCTCCATTTCTGGGTCCTCAGCGGCAGACAGTGTGTGGGTTGAACGGCTAATGTACACACCAGGGGGAGGGGGGCAGCCAGAGGAACACTGAAGAATACTACAGAACACAATGAAACACGGACCCTGAAGCAAGCGGCGGTTGGATGCCAGACGAAAGAAGCAAAATTGAAAAAAGGGCCAAAACTCTAAACAGCGTCCGTCTCCCTTTGGTGGGCGGATCTGAAGGACTGACGTTCGTTTACATGGGCCGGTATCTATTTTCCTCCCATGATCGGGGAGGGAAAGGTACCGTAACCGTAGGTAGGTAGGAGGCCCGGGCATCAGTGCGAGCACTCCGCCAGCCGCCGCCACGGGGCGGATTAGAACACACACCGCATACGCACACACACACCCAAGAAAGATGAGGCATGGGAAGAAGTGTCAAGTTACACACGTACGCAAACAACGCCTGCAAGGCGGCAGATTGGCGCACTTTGACTTTTTGTCCCCCTTGGCGCTGGGTTCGAGAGGGAACGCAGGCACGAAGGTAAGGTGGAGTTTAGCCCAGATGGATCTGCCCGGCCGCCCACGGACCGGCGATCGTCGTTCGGGGTTTGGCTGTCACACTGGCTTTTTTCCTTCTTCGCTTCCCTTCTCCGGCCGAGCGAGCGAAGAGACAAAAAAAGAGGACGAAGAGAGAAGGAGGGGGGCGCGGGGACCCGACAGCGGATAGCACGAGCCGAGTCTGCACACAGACGCTCTCGTATATATCAATGACAGAAGGGAAGAAAAAAGGGTAAAAAGAAAGGAGGAAACAAAGCTGCGAGCAGAAAGATCGGAAGAGAAACAGAATACGTCCGAGGGCTCCCCTTTTTTTGCTTTCTTCCTATGTCATGTTCTACGACCCAGGTCCGAGAGTTGTTTTTTGCTGCAGCTGTGTGTAAGACAGAAAACCGGTCCGCCGCACAACCGCCACCAGTCAGGCCTGCGTCTTCGGAGCCGTTCACCCACAACTCGGACCTCGACGACAGTTCGGGGTGCCGATGGAGCAAATCGACAGGGGAGAGGACGAGACTGGACTGAACTAGTGCCTGGACCGAACTGATATATACCGACATGACGCAGGGCACGTGGGTGAGGGATGGCACATGGAAACGGACGGATGCTCGCGCGCGGATGTCAGTGATACCGGAACAATGACGAAGGCATATCTGTGGACAGACGTGCCAGCTTTTCCCAATGTAAAACGTACATCATCGATTCCCGGTCCGTTGTAAGTAAAACTACACTTATCCCTTGAATGAGGTCCTCACTCTTTCATAATCCCAAGACCGCCCAACTACCGACTGTACTTCTCGCGCAGGTATCCATCTGTAGACGCCGATGCCCGAAAGAGAGAAATAAAGAAAACACCCGCAAGGAATTAAAGTTACTCCCTGATTCACACCTGAAGAGTACAATTCGTACCGTTCTGTCCAATCGCCCCTTTTCCCCATTGAAACCGCATGGCCCAAGAACTGATTCCAAGCCAAGGCCACTCCCCATTCATACCCCTCCCTATGATCCGTTCTTGTCGTTCGAGTCCTGCTCGGGGGTATAGTTGGTCTCTCCCAACATCTCGGTCGGCCCAGTGGTCATGGCCGTCTGCGTGTTGGGTGCGGGTTGCGTCTGCACCGTCGGGCCCGTAGGTTGCTGCGCCGGGGGCTGTGAGGATGATCGCGCCGCCGCGTTAGCCGTCGCCGCGTGGAGTCTTTGATCGAGTGTCTTGAGGGCGAGCGCGCGTCTCCGCTCCGCCTCCGCCCTTGCGCCGCCGGGGGCGCTGCGTTGGATGTAGTTATTTCCGCGTCCCCCGGACATGTTGTCGGCAGAGAATGGGCTGCATATCCGCATCGCGACGAGAACCTCGAAGATTTGGGAAGAGAGCGCGGCCACAAACGGTTTGGCGGGGCTGGGAAAGAATTCGGCAAAGGCGAAAGTCTCGCTGGCGTCTCCGCGCATCGATGTTGGCTGCGAGGCATCGAGGTCGGGGAAGACCTTCTTGTAGAAGCGGAGGTAGGTCCAGCTGGTGAGGAAGCCGGTCACAGCAAGGGAGAAGGAGGCGGTCGTCAGAAGCGGCGTCAGGGTGAGCGCAAGGACAATTCCGAGGTACACGAGCGGGAATCTCGGGACCCGCATGGAGAGGATGCCACGGAAGAGGGTGACAGTGTGCGCCGGGACGAGCTGACTGAAAGCGACGAGGAAGGATATTTGCATCGGAATCGTGCCACCAATGACGGTGAGTCTGTTTGGAGCTTGGTTAGCCTCGGAGCTTCCGGCATTTTTGTAAGAGAGAGCTCTACATACGTCCAACGCTCGTTCCTCGTCAGAGTAAAGAAGACGATCATGGTCGCAAATGTGAGGGTATTCGGAATCAGGGCTGTGATGGCAACAAACTTGGCCAGCTCCGCCGACGACCAAGCTCTCTCGAGATATCTTCCGCCATGGTATATGGTCACGCCGGCAATGCCTAGCGTGAAGATGTTGTTCTCAACCAATGTTGAGGTCAAGAAGGTCCACGGGTAGATAAGGGAGAGCTGAGGGATGAGCGTGAGGTAGGGTATCACGATCTCTGAGGTTGCGCTCCATTGGCGATAGCGGATCGCAGCGCTCAAGAAAGACTGCAATACGAGCACGGCCAGTAGGCCACGGGTGACCGGGGGAATGTTGATTCGGGGCGGCATCTTGGGTACAGCTTCCGGTCGGACGGCGAACGTCAACAGCGCATCTAGGGTGGGTTTCGTGATAGGACGAGCTCGGTTTTTGGCCGTCCAGCTTGCTCATCCGTAGAGCCTCACCCAAGGGGACACTTTGGTATGGCGGCCCGGGGTCGTTTCAGTGGAGCTAAAGGACGGGTGATAGTTGTTCCAGGGAGAAGCTAAGCCTAGTTAGGCCAAGGACCTGGGAGCTTAGCGCACTGGCCATGCAGACCCATTTTGGCGGGAATTGACACGGGCAGCAGCCTTTTGAGGTTTCAAGGGTACGTACCCCGTACCTATCTTGAGGTGTTTCGAGCCACGTTCCCCCCGGACTCCCTCTCCAGAGCTCGATGTACGTCTGCTCAGCCTGTCAGATCCTTAACGACGGTCCATCTCTCAGCCGCCTTCTAGGTGCCAGAACTCGGAGGCCCTTACTCAAGAAGCAGCCCCGACATTCGGTTGATTCGGAGGTGTGCTGCGGTGCACGAGGCAGCAGCAGCAGACAGACGCACAAACAGCACAAGCAGGCCCCAGAGTTTTTCATCTGCAGGGCGACGAACGGGCTTGGAGGGGCGTGGGAGTGTTCCACTGGTGGAGCCGACAAGTCCTCGATGCGGTCGAAACGGGAGATCTCGTGGCTCCATCCCTGCAGGGCACTCCAAGGGCACTTGGTTCGGTTGAACGCCAGCCCAGCCCGGCCGTGTCAGCAGAAGCCGCCGTCATCCACCCTTTTCCCTTCCCACTCGTGCCACCGTCCGGCCTCTCGGCAGTAGGCCTTGCTTGTTGTGTCTCCTTATCAGCCTGGCCAAGACCATAATCGAAGAAAAGACCATTCAACGCTGGTCAGCTACGCGAGGAATGCTGAGGCGTGTTGGACACTCTCGCTTCCCCAAGGTCTCCCGGCCCAAATTTGAAGGCACTTTTGGTGAGGGTTCTAGAGGTGGAACTGACTCGAGATCATGGCCCCTGGGCGCCTTCGGACGGTGCCGCAAACCTCGGACGGCCCCCCCTTGGACCGTCAGAGAAGCCAGCTAGATCATTCATTGCTTGGCTACAGTTAGGTTGGCTCGGCCAATGGCACTAGCAATAAAGCAGGCCGTTGCTTTGGCCATGGCCATCACGAAGGGCATGGAAAGTCTTCAATTTGGTGGGTTTATCGCCACCCTATCGATCGCATGTCATCTGCAGAGTGGTCGTCAATTTACCGTCCCCTCTGGCCCAGCGGGTAAGGACCGACAAACCCCGGCGTCATAAAATACCCCAGACGCAGGCGGACATCACGCTGGGATGCATGTCGCCATTGATTAGACGGTCTCGGAAGAGAGAATCAGCATCAGCACCGGCCTCAGGATCAATGGCGTCCGTGCCAGGATGGCTAGGGTTTGGCTCTGTGCTCAGAGGCGCCTCTGAATGATGAGCGGCCTGCCATTCCCAGGGGTGTTTCCGAACACCAAAACGTTGGCCGACGTTGACGGGATGGAGTTTGACCACAAAACCAGCTCCCATTCGGCTTGGCCTGATGTGCCGGTGTGAGTGGCTAGTAACCAGTGGTCACAGACAAGCGGTGGCAGGGGGCCCTGAAGAAGTCCCCGGAGCTATTAAAGATCGAAGGCCATGCAGCCATCACATCCTTGTCCACACCCACCCAGGGCGCCTCGCAGCCAGCAGTTCCCGCCAGGGAAGGCCCCTTGATGGGCAATGCCACGTACACACACAAGAGACTGGCGAGTCGACGAGAAGTCGATGAGGGAGACGGAGGGGAGCACAGGAAAACATGATGCCCGTCGCATCAACCGATGGTGGCATTCCCTTGCCGTCACCACGCCCTCTAAGCGTGGGATGGCTCGCCTTACCGAGAGGCATTTCTAACACACCGTCCTGCACAACACTACCTCGAACCCCAGCTGCTGTCATGATTGGAATCCCCCACTCGGGACCGTACCTTGCCTTGTCTCCCAAGGTACGTACACGACGGGTAGGAATTGGACACAGACGACAAACCGCTGCCCATCTGCGCGGGCTGCAGCCCCAAGAGGCGCGGCCCTCTCTCGGCATTAGCCTCCAGGGCAGTGGCCGCATGGGGCGAAAAGAGAAGAGCATGTACGGTATCGACTTGTGCATACAAAGGCAAGCTACACCACGCTAGGCCGCGCCGCATTCCAGAGATGGTAGGGCGGAGACGTCAGGACGCTGCGCTGCGTGCTGCACTGCGCTGCACCAGCGCCAGAGCAAACAAGCACCCCGAGCTGGTGCGGACGCGGGTGCCAGTGCCTGTCCTGCCCTTTTGAGGCCTTCGAAGGCATGCTTGCTCTGTTCTTCCAGACTCACGGGGGTGCTTCCGCTCATTGTCGAAGGCAGCTTATTTTTACGCCTCTTGGCGACTCGCTAGCACAGGGTTTGGGGCCAGAAGTTAAGATTGGGACCGATTCGAGACGAAAAGACCGTGTCTCTCCTTTGCACCTCCGACCGGTGAGGTGGAGATCGTGGTGGAATTCAACGACGACACGGGAGGGTGAGCCGACGGACGGAGCACGGAGAGGGTCATCAATGGTGACACAAAGATTGATTTGACTGGCGCAAATGCATTGGAAGCGACCGAATGGCGCGCGCAACAGTTGTGGGAATGCCGCAGCGCAGCGTCCCTCTGTGCCGACGACAAGAGTCAGATGGACGGTTGATCAGCACAGCGCGACCTTGGAGCCAATTCTGCGTTTCCATTGCTCCAGGAAACTGGGGAGAGGTATTACATAAGGTGGGTTTTGAGGGGGCTCATCTCTTCCCAGGCAGCCAGCCAATCTGTGCATATCGTGAGGATATGTCCCAATGTACTTTTTCAATGTACCTCCAACGTCTGCAGCCGTCCTCCAGCTGTCCGGCCCTCTGCCAGGAAGAGCCCAGCATCCACAGTGTCTTGCTTGTTCTGGACCCCTGAAACGATCGAGTTTTTTTTTCCTTTTGATGCGGTCACGCACAGCAGCGCCGTCTCCAGAGGCCGATACGTATACATACATAACACAGTCGCTTCCTCCAGTGCGCACCCACGGTGGCCAGACGTGAAGATCGTCGCGGAGGATGAGAGGGAACGCGATCAAGGATATGCGAGCCCCCCTCCCCCTGGACTGGACCGAACCTGAAGATGAGCCACGCTTGCGCACTGCCTGCCGACGGGAAGCGTGACTGTCGCTAGTCGCTTGCCAACATTACACGACAGCGCGGAGAGACCATCGAACATTATCGCCAACCGCGAGAGATGCAGTGCAAAATGCGCTTCGGACATCAGGCACGCGCGAGGTACCCGGCGGGCTGGCCAAGGTACGGGCGACGACGGCACAGCGACACACAAAGTACCTCAGACAGGGCGCAAGGGGCGGCATCGTGACTGGGTGTCAGGGCCACCTCCAAGTCCCCAAATGTGGCTCTCCCGGAACCCTGTCTTTAGTCGTAGCCCCAAACACCACCCCCAAATCTGATGGACCACAACAACAAATTGATGGACGGGACCACGGGATTAAACAGAGAATTATCGTTTTCTCGAAGCCCGCCCGCACTCGTACCGGCTGGCCCTCCGCTGCTTGAGCTTCTCTCTGGGTTCCATTCTCTCCACCTGGGATAAATACAGCCACAGCCCAGCCCAGCCGGCCCAGCCCAGCACAAACACAGCATCATCACCTGGTTCCCCTGAAGGGTGACGAATGACGAGGGCGTTTATGGTTCACATGAACCTGGGCCTCGGGAAGAAGGCTAAGGCGAGAGCAGAAAGCCAAACGCTATCAACGGATGGCCTCCCAGGTTTATCTTCATCTCAATCAGAGTGCGAAAACAGCACAGGGCCCGGCAATGGATTAAGGATCTTGAGAACGGTCCCAAAGGTACGCTGAAGGTTGAGTACGTTAGATCATGCATTTGAGGCGACTCCACTCCCGTCCGACGTAGGTAGGTACGTAGCTTCTGTCGACGGTACGTACCCTCTCTTTTGTTCCTCCAACTTCAGCGTCCCGTCCCAGTCGATGGGAAGTCTCCAACAAGTGTGTCTGGTTGATGCTGGCTGCGCTCGTTCATTCATCACTGTTCCCTGGGACTCGTAAAGCCCCGACCGGGGAACCAGGGCCTCAGGCTGGTCCTCTCCCCCTTGGGCGGTTCCCTGCCGTGCGTGTCCTGCGACTTGGCTTTTGTGCGCAGATTTGCAGCAGCGTTGAATTGCTGTGCCATGCGTCCAAAGGCCGGGCTGGGGGGAGGGACGAAGTCGATTGGAGATTGAACTGGGCGTGGAAGCCTCGAACAACCAGAAGCAACCCAAGCCGGCGCGGGTGGGAAGACGGCCGATGAACGCCAACGCCAAAGCCAAAGCCAAACACCTCAGCCATGTGCCTGCTGTCGCGGCCGCGCGAGAACGAAAGACAGATGGACGAAAAGAAGCTGAAAGTGTGTGCGTAAGGAATGTGTGACTTGTGCCAATCCCGTCCTGTCCCAGTCGCACTTCTCTCCTGTGTCTCTCCTAGCCATCAGTCAGTGTGCCTGTCTCTTTCTCCCCCAGTCCTAGTCGACGTCCGTAGGCCGGTAAAAGACGCTAGGATGCTAAGGTAAGGAAAGGAAGGATGTGGCGGTACGTACCCTTTTTTAAAGGTAAAGCGAGGATGATGAGTGTGAGTGTGAGTGTGAGTATGAGTGCGAGCGTGAGGTAGGTGGTCCAGAGGCAAGGCAGTAGTGGTACTGGTAGTGTAGTAGCGGTAGCGGCACCAGTAGTAGAGGCAGCACCAGTTGGATTCAATGGCGGGCACTGGCTGGGCTGCTGGGACTAGCGCCACGCCTCACGCCTGGTCTCGCCTAACAAGGTACCTTGCCTACGTACCGCCAGATTCAGATTCGCCCATCCTTCCATTTCATCCACTCTTGCGGGCTTCTTCAATCCTCAATCTTTCCTCTCATCTTGAAAACGACGATACGATTTCGCGACAGACGCTCCCTCGACGACGCACCGAAACACGCCCAAGAAGGACCTCGTCGGCATCCTCATAGATTCGTCTCACAGATCCGGACTTCGATACGCCGCCCATTGCGGCACCGCGCGGCATGGTCACCAAGGAATTCCTCGACTCGGACAGAGTCAACTTCCTCGTCTGGAGGTGAGTTCACCCTTTTTGCGTCTCACCCACACCCACCACCGCACGCCGGAACACACAGTCGCGCACCTCACTCTCACCTCAAGACTTTGCCCTTTGCACTCCGTCACGCTTCCCCCCTACTTGCAGCGACTCTCTCGCGACCAGAGCCTCCCCGATGGCATTGCTAACGTGTCGGCCCCAGATACCTCTTGGAGAGCAGTATGTGATGATCGTCCAGACACACCCGTCAGCGACAGCTGGGGGTGGGCCGTGGCTTGTTTTTCTAACGTTTGCAGATTACCGCGAGACCGCAGCCAAGTTCCAGAAGGAGTGGCACGTTCAGCAACCTCATCGCCAATTTGATTTCGCAAACCACGTCAAGAGTCATGCATTGGTGTCCGTCATCAACAAAGGCCTCTGCTACCAGGCCCTTGAGAGGGAACACGCAACTAAGGTAACCCAATTCGCATCCGACCGACGTGTGGCTGGCACTCGCCTCTTCGTCTTCTCCCCCCGGCGCCGAGGGTGATGGCGGCAGCGCAGCCCGAGGCAACCAAAGGGTAGACGGAGATGTGGGTGTGGGTAACGTAACGTACGAACAGCAAACTGACACTTTTTTTTGCGCGTGCAGCAGGTGCCTCAAGATGCAGCGGCAGCGGCCGAAGCATTGGAGGTAGGGTTGTTTGGGCCATTGATCCCCCAGCCGCCTCACAAGATCGAGGAGGATGAGGACGCGGACGGGGAGGTAGACGACACGGAAATGGAGGTCGAAAACTCTCGAAAACGCCAACTTGACAGCCGGCCACAGCAGCACCTGGTGAATGGCGGCTCACCCAGCAAGCGGCCCAGGCTCAGCAATGGGTACGAAAGCACGAATGGGGCGGATGCAGCCACGGACCCCATGGAGCTAGACAACCACGGGGACAACAACCACGCCTACCCGTCGCCCCTGGAAGGCGAACAAGCTCCGACGCCCACTCCGAGAACAGATGGCCCCGAGCAGGGCACGCAGGTCGACAAAGTCCAGGAATTGGCAACAGAGACGACGTTTTTGCGATTAATGCCCGATGACACCACTTCCACCGCCAGCAACCCGCAGGACGGCGCCGCCGCGACGACTACCGCAGCGACCGGTGCCGCTTCGCCCTCGCCAGCCAACGGTGAAAATGCACCCATCTTGTTGCGCTGCGAGTGGAACCCCAAGGACCCATCCATCTTGGCGGCTGCTGGAACCGATGCGCTAGCCCGAATTTGGACCATCTCACGTTCAAGCACTATGACGCCTGCGCCTGATTCCGAGTCCGACGGTCACGTGCATGGCGTCCATCGCCCTTACCACAGTCTCATGGACGACGAGACTCCAAAGTCAGCAACTGTCGGTCAGCTTGCCTGGAACTGGGGGGGAACAGCCATTGCCATCGCGGCCGAGTACGGCGACAAGGCATCTATTCACATCTGGGCCAAGGACGGCTCGCATGTCGACAAGTTCGACGTCTCGGACCCTCCGGTGATCAAGCTCCGTTGGAGCCCAAGCGATGCCGCTCTGCTGGCCATTGCCCCCGATAACAGCAACGGCAATGGCAACGGAGGCGCGCTGGTCACCGTCTATCACTCACTGACCTCGGCCACCTTGTCGTATTTCCTCCCGAACCACGACCTGCTGAACTGGCCCCTCGACGCGGCATGGACAAGCGAGACAGAGTTCCTCCTCACCGGCGGCGACGTGATGCTGTCGCTGAGGTGCACCGACACGGCCATCCTGCCGAACAGGAAGTTTGAGAGTCGGGACGACGACACTTTCACCCAGGTGGCGTATGACTGGCGCTCAAAGCTGGCTGCCACATCGAGTGACAAGGGTATCCTTGATGTAAGCATCCCGAAACGCCTGTGCAATGAAGATCGGCTCACTCAACCTTTTTAGCTCTGGGATGAAAACGGTCAGCGCCGGTCCATAACTGCTCACTCTGGTGCAATCACCGCACTGCAATGGCAACCCCTGCCGGCCGACTCAAGCCCGCCCGAAGACGAGCGCCTTATTGCGACTGGAGGTGACGACTGCGCGATTCTCATTTGGAATGCCAAATTCCCAGATCAGAAACCCAAGTCCTACTTCACGATGGAGTCACCAATTGTCGCTGTCTCATTTACTCCGGATGGAGCCTTCATTGCGGGAGCCACCGCCGGTCACATTCTCATTTGGAAGGTTGGAGAGCACACGATGCCACGTGCGAGCTGGAGCAGGGCGCCACATCCGGGCTGGTTGAGTCCCAAGGCGAATTCGGAGCCGGAGGAAGAGGATGAACACTGTCTGTGTTGGGATGCTGATGGACAGAGACTTGCGTACGGAGCCAACAGCCGAGTAAGTATCCATCATGATGTTTGAATGCTGCGACCATCTCTGACATTTCCCAGTTGGCTGTCATTAACTTCAGCCGGTAAATCTCAGCAACCATGGGCTTGCTCACACATCTACGATCATGATTTCCGACATGCTCGACTGAGAGTCTATGAGAGAACTCGCGGTTCCGCAAGGCAAAGCACCCTGCGCGGCAGAGCGTTTACATCATTATCATCATCATCTAGGCCATTCAGACACGACAATCCAGGTCGTGCTCCTTTCCTAGGCCACACATTCTACGGTTACCGGCGTCGCGGGCGGTGTTGTTACTGAGGATACCAGGCGGTCAGGTCCTCAATGGTGGGAGCTGGGGAGAGCCGGCTGCCATTTTGCATACGCATACCTTCATCTACAGGTGGTTTCTGGAGAGAAAGAGGATGGGAGTCAGCGTTGGCTTAGAGTGGGAGCAGCGGTAGATAATTCGGTCGCTTTCGTCGTGTCGAGTTGTCTTTTTGTTCAAAAGGGTCTGTCTGGAAGCGGGAGAGGGGGATACATCACTTGCCACTCGCAGGGTCAGCGCGTTGTACAATATGCCTGTATATACCAACCAAACCGATATGATAAAAAACAAAACAAAGGAGGTTTCGACTCAGTTGTCGCGATGCTGACGGGATGCCAATGTACTTGAAATGCTACATCAATTCGGGCATGCTTTGGAAGGTCCAAAACAGATGGCCTTGATTCCGTCCGCCACAGTAAGAGCCAGATGCGAAAGAGCTTGTCACACGTCATTCGGAGCATTGAAGTCTGAAGAAATACAGCGAGCGAAAGGGACGTCAAAACTGTCCGACGTCAAGATAGACTCTAGCCAGAAAATGCTACCTTGCAAAGCATATCAGAGTAAGGCATCGTATGTCCTTGGCACGTAAGGCCTGGCAGAAGCTCTGCCCGAATTCAACCTCATGCGGCGGTATGGCTAGGTTGGGCTAGAAACTCAATCAACGGCGGCGCACTTCTTCTCCATGAAACACAATGGCTGCTAGTCAATCAACTCTAAACCCACCCAGCAGCCAGGCACTGCAAACGCGGGGGATTAAGGTATGCTGGCTGGGTTTGGTCACACTGGAAAGGCGCTTGCGACAAAAAAAGGCTGCTGTGCAGTGGCCCCGCATCGGATCCGACCCCTCCTCCATTCCCGCGCCGCGCCGCAGCAGCTAGCCCCAGCGCGCGCGTCACAAGCTCATAAGCGGGCGGACGACAAACCGCCGACCAGCAACGACATCCGTGCAGCGATAATACCTTTGTTCCGCGACCTCGTCCGTTTGACACTCCCGGGTGCGAAACCATTCATTGTGCGAGACTCGAGCTTTCAATTGTACTCGGCTCTTGCCTTTCTAGCAGATATCTTCGTAACTGCGTCTCGCTTTGTTCATTCCTTGCCTGCTCTACGTGTGAGAGAGACGGGAGAGCAAACAAGCAGCAGCCGCCGTCACCGCTCCTTCTCAACGCTCCTCTCACCAGGCATACCTTCCTCGGAACTCAATTCCATATACAGAATCACAGGAGTAACCGTCCAAAATGTCAAACCAGTACTACAGCCCCCACCAGCAGCACCCGCAACGCTTCTACCCCGCCGGCGCCCAGCAGCAACCCTCGACCTCGTCCTCGCACCCGGGCGGCCCGATGATAGAGCCCCAGTTCACCCCCGCGATGCGCGACCGCCAGGCGCGCGGCAAGGACCCGTACTCGCCCAGCGACATGGGCATGGAGTCGCCGCCCCGGGCCCCCGGCAAGGTGGGCAGCCTCGGCGGCGGCGACGACGGCGACACGTTCGAGGACCGCAGGCAGAAGCTGTTTGCGATTGAGATCCTAGACGACCCCGAGAAGCTGGCCATGTACGCTTGCAGTCGAGGAGATGTGAGTTGCTCCACTTGCCTGGGACATAGCCTTGCTGAATGAATGAGAGATACCGGCCACTGACGCATGAGAGCAGAGCATCCCCGGCACCAGACTTCACTTCACGCGTATCCTGTGTGGTCTGGATACCAACACGCCGCCGCCGCAGCAACAGCATGATCCTCGCAAAGCGTCGGCCTCAAGGCGTGATCCCCGGCGTAGGAGCGCTGGGGGTGATAGGGTTAGTCGGCACTGATTGCGCGGGCGAAGTCCTCAAGATGTACAGGGAGAAAGCTCGATTGGGTCTCCATCGACAACAAGAACATGAATGTCATCAGTCACGTTCTATTAGCAAGCCCGAAGGGTTAAGCGCTGGAGTTGGGTTTAAATAAGTACGAAAGTTCTCCTGCAGTTTGAGCTTTTTCAGAATCAGTAGGGGTGTTGGCATGGGATGTGCTCTGTTGGTACTGGCTTGAGCACAAGGATGAATCATCCCGTCCCGGTCTCACGCAAGTCATGAGTTATGAAGTCACGGGTCACCGATCTGGTTACCGGCGTTACTAGGTGTCATTCAAAGCGAGAATCGTGCAAGTTTACCAAGGAATTGTGGTCAAAGTCTAGTCATTGATGTGACAATGTCGTCGCTGGTGTCCGCACTGGATCAGCCAGCTGACCTAAGTTATGTTCTGTCCCTATCTAGGTATCCGCAGGTATCCAAGACCGTAGTCATCATGAATTACACAATTACACTGCCTAGGCTGTGACGTGTGCATGCCCATGCTAAACAATATGGGACTTTTGAAAGCCGAAAAGGGAAATGAAAAGGTAAACACCACCAACTCCGAATAATGCAATGATGGATAACTGTAGTCCTCCTTTTTCCGGGCCTCTTTGGGCCCTTTATCCTGTCATCTCTTCAATATGAGATTATGCGTATCTGGCGCTCTGCGTTCTATGCATTTGCCAGTCCTGGTTAGGGTGTGGTGCGTATTGCGGAGGAGCACCGGGACGAGTGGCCACCGGGGGCGGCGGAGGCACGTTGGATTGACCCCAAGCCCCTCCATAGCCGTTCCAGCCTCCCATCGGTGGCTGAACAGGCTTGAGCCTCCTGGCACGCGTACGGCTTCTGCTTCTACGACAGGCGCCGCACACACAACTGCAAAGGGCGACGAGAACAAGCAGACCAACTACACATACTATGGGGATGAAGATGGCCTTGTTGTTCTTGATCCAGTCCAGAATCTCATCACCAGCATTGGAACCAAAACACTGTCCGTTGGAGCACTTGCCGTTGCCCTGACAGGTAGTTCCGTCAAGGAAGTTCTGGTTCATGGTCACACAACCGGACCCGATACTCGGGACATTGCAAGCAATCAAGCAGTCCTGGTTGCTGCAAGAAGTGACCGAGGTGGTGTTCGTCCGGGCACCCCAGGCCGTCTTGCACTGTTGATCGCGAGAGGTGCATTGACCTGAAGCGCAAGTCAAGCCATCGCTGGAGTTGCCGCATGAGTCTCCGTCGTCCTTGTGCTTGTCCGTAGGGCAGGAGGACGAAGTGCCGCTGCATACCTCCTCCGGATCGCAGGAGCCGGTGCTCGCTCGGCAAACAGTTCCGTTGCTGGCAAACTGGCACTGACCGTTGCAGCAGTCCTCGTTGGAGGGGTCGCAAACCGAGCCGGTGGTAAACTTGCAAGTCGTAGGGTTACAGCAGCTGTTGCTGCCACATCCATTTTCACCGCCGCAATCGCAGTCCTCGCCTGACTCGACAATACCGTTACCGCACTGGCTCTCAAGGATAGTCTTGACGTCGCGGTTGTTTGTAAGACACGTCGACTTCACCTGATTGCGGAGAAGACCAGAGCAGATATTGCCGATACTGCAAGGTGAAAATGCCTTAATACCGGTGGCTGTAGAGGGGTTCATAATGTACTGTCCTGCCGCGTTGCAAGTGCTGGAGCTCAGCGGGCAGCACCTGTTCAAATTGGAATCGCCATTGCTGCAGGTGTCCGATGTGCAGTCGTGCACAGCACCAAATGTGTGACCGACTTCGTGAGCAATGACCTGCCATTCACTGGGTGTTTGAATGACGACGTTCGCGGAAGCGACAGTCTCGTTGTCCGAAGATTGCGATCCGCTCACACAAGCCTGGCCCAACCATGCGAGGCCGACGGCAGAGTCGGTCCCACAGGTACTCAACAGGGTCCAGAAGGCATTTGTGTCCTTGGAATTGCCGCGCCATGCGGAGAAAAGACTCAGTCGATCCGTGATGGTGACGCTGTTGCTGCATGCTACGTTCCAAGGCGCGGAGGAGCTGGCTGTTCCCGGGCAGTTGGCGTCACTGATAGTCAGATTCTGGATTCCGAGTGAGATATTGAAAGTGCTCTCATACACCTCGGACGCTGCGTTGATCACCTGAATGATGTTGGATCTAACAGACTGGGTCGAGTTGAAAGCAGCCGTGTAAGTGCAGTCGGTGGCGACACCCAGCAGCGCGATCTTGCGCGTCGTCGGGCAACCGCTGGTCTGTCCAATGGTAGAAACCAAGTTGACGCCTGCACCGTTGTTACCGGTGCTGCCAGTATCGGTCTGTCGTCCAAAGATGTTGCGTCCGAAAAGGGAGTTCGTGGCGACGGATTGAAAGGGCTCGAGCCCCCGTGCGTCGAGAGGATCGTACTTGGCGTTGAAGCCCAAGCTGTCCGAGTTGCATGACGTCCGGCCGAAGACATCCCGCTTCAAATCCTCCCGGTCGTAGTAGTAATCAAGAATGTCCGAGTCCCTCCATACCACCATGTAGTCGTCGGGGTTCCGGCTGGTCGGGGCATCGGGGTCTTCGCGGTGCTTCCGTTGGCGGTAGTTGGATCCAGTCAGCACGTGGTGGGGGTCGCCGTCAATGCGGAACGCGCCCTCGAAGATGGGCTCGGCGCCGTCTCGATGGATGGTGATTCTTGCCCAACCAACATGCGTCCATTCGGTGTTTCCGTCGTGTCGAATAAAAGTCTTGCCCCTGAATACGCGATGTTCTGAGCGGTCCACCGACTCCGTCTTGCGAATCTTGCCGTCTGCGCCCAGATAGTTCACCTCGAAGTTGTCCCCCAAAATGTCGTGATTAGGCTCCAGCGCTAAACGGACCTCCTGTTGCTTGTCGTGAAGTGCGAAAGTGAGGTCGAAATGTGAAAGAGCATGGCAATGTTGTGAAGGCGAATGCAGCACGGCATCTTCGAGGATAGTGACATACTTCAGCGGGTTCCGCTGTGTTGAGTGCGCTGGGGAATGTTAGCGGCGCGCTCTCATTACTTGCCTCACCACCTCCACCACTTAAGGTTAAAACCATACCTAATGTTTCTTGCGCGATGACTGCTAGGCCGGCAAAGGCGGCAGCGATGGTCTTGAAGCTGACCATCGTTGTGGTTGTTCCCCGCAAACGGGGTGAGGCTCGGGGAGGCCTCTTGCGATGGCGCTGCGTAAGCCTCCAGATAGGGGTTCTGCGGTCGTTGTTGTCGTCGTGGAGCGCGGCAAGTTGTCGTGAAGGGCCCGTATTCGCGTGTTTGGTGGCAAGGGCGGAAGCAAAGGGGAGAAAAAGGATTAAAACAAAAGAGAACGAATGTATGTGGTTGTGTCGAAAGAATGGAAGTCCGGAACGTTGGGTTGGGTCCCTTAGTGCCGGCGACAGACGGAAGGAGGAGCAGCAGCAGCAGACCTCACTCAGCAGCAGTCAGCAGACAGGCGAGACTGGCAACCAGGAGGAAGGAAGGCTATGGGATTCTCGGGGGGGCGTCGGTCGGTCGGTGTTGCTGAACGGGGCCAGTGGATTGCGCAACACGATCTCTTGGTACGGGGGCGTGGACCAACTGTATTGGAGCGCCCAGGTGCGGTGGATTCCAGAGGCGGCTGGGCGACTTGGTCACTCTTGGCTTAGTGTACCGCGCAGCACGGCAGTGGCAAGCACCAAGACAGAGGTACCCCTTCCGAGCTTGGGACACAAGGACCGCGCTAGCGCCAAATGAGGCCTGGCTGGGTTCCCACTCAGGGACCTTACCTAAGGCGACCCGGGCAGTGGAAGCCTGCCTTCTCCCTGTTTCACTGCTGCTGTTAGCTGGTACATTGACACGAACATAATGCTTTCCAGTTTTAATTTTTCGACCCGGTCGATCCCCCAAGCACCCTGACTGACGCTACCGCTGCTCGCACTTGTGGCACACACGCACGCGAGAACACTCGCGCTCACGCCGCCGTCGGCTCGCGATGCTCTAACTTTGCCCAGGAGAGACTGCGAAGGCAACTGCCGTCTCTCAGTCTCTCAGAGAGGTGTCGCCGTCACCGTCCGTCGCCGCCAAAGCCGCAAGCCTCACGGGTCCGACCACGACTCAACACCGCCATTATTGCAGTATTACGGCCTGACGTTCGCCATCCACAGCCATGGCGGTTCATCTCAAGACCACAACAGCTAGCTGCAGAACAATATGCAGATGCAAGAAATAAACTCGTTCGAACTCACCTCACCAATCTTCGACGAGGGAATCCTGGCGACTGGCCAAGATCTCTCTCCCAGAATCTGATACCGTCCCCGTCTGAGCTGAACCACACGGGTGAAGGCCGTTACAGTCAACCTCCAAAGCAGCACCCAGAAGGGCAACCGAGCCGATAATTGGAGAGGGATGTGGGAGGGATTGATGGGATGACAGCCCCCAGAGCAAAGGGGAAATGCTGCAGTATGTCAGCTACTAACAGATCCCGACCGTCTATTCTTAGCGGCTTTGATATCGTCGGATACGTACCTTCACCACCGTTGACCGACTTGCGACCTCTGCACTGTCAGGACAACGCCTCTCCGTCCCTCGCGTTTCAGAGCCAATGGCACGCTGTTTGAGTCGCTATTGGCGCTTCGAGCCAATGATTATTCGCTCAGCTCGGGGTTCGTTGGAACGGTCACGACAAATTGAATGTGATGACTGGGGAGCAACGTGTTGTGGGATGAAATGGTGGGTAAGAATGATGAGATCTTTCTAAACCTGCTCGATGCCAACCATCACAGCCGACGCGAGGGCCACGCACCTTGATGCTTAAGTATCAAATCGAACGCTTCCACCAAGCCGGGTCTAGGCCGACATTCTCTACTCTGCACCTTTTCGGTGGACCTTCGACTGCCAATGCCACGCCAAACATCACTTGCCTTGTTGTTGGTCTTCACGTCGCAGACGCCCATGACACTAGCCCCCGCCGTGTCGGAGTGGACGGTCTTGTGAGTCTCAAGGTAAGCTTATGAGCTTACGTCTCCCCTCTGCAACCCAGCCTGGCCTCGGGGCTGAGCAATCTTGGCCAGAAGTCTCTGACGAGCACACTGGGAGCGGCCGCTAGTCCCAGCTCGACTTTGA